ATCAGTGGAAAATGGCAAGACTGCTTCAAGCTGATAGAAAGGCAATATTAGCCCAAACTTGTTACAACAAACGTAGATGCAGAAGAGTATCTCTGATTGAAAAAGCATAATGAACCTTTAAAGCATCAGGGGACCACACTGGGTGCCACATGTATTAGCCAAGTACAGGAAACTGAGGCTACAGTTATCAATGAGTCACAATAGATTGGACAATAGAAACATGAAAATGATGAGTCTCAGTTTCCGCTGCAACATTTAAATGATAAGGTCAAAAAGTGGGAGGCAGGATATTTATGCTTCTGCTCTACCACATTTTATAGCATTGTTATTATTACTATATTACATTTTTAATTTTAAATATTGTGGACAAAATTTTTTACTGATCACTAATAGTAATAATATTCCGGTAATATATACAGCACTTCTACATGTTTGCATTAGGTAGCTGAATTATATTTGATGCTTATACTTTTGTGTTAGGTGAAGTTTTATATGCAAGACTTCTATCTGCTTTATTGACAGTGACAGACTATGTATTAGCCTGGGAATGAGATCTATATTAAAGCTGAGATTTGATTTGCTCTGGTTGAAATAAAATAAAACCACCCACTCTTACTGACACAGCACTGTAATCTTAATAGACACCAAACCCTGTTAGAATGAAATATGATTAAACCAAAGATCAAAATAAAATCAAGAACAGCACCTTCAGCCCACTGGTTTCTGTTAAAAATACTTCATGGCATTAAAGTCTTCTTCTGTGAGTAGGATATAAAGTGAAGTTTCAGTGGTCAAAGACTGTGAATTAACAATAAAGTCAATAGGCGGAATCCCTGCTGTGGCCTTTTCTAAGAGGACATGTTCTCAGCGTGCTGTCACGTGGATTTCCTCTGGGTGTTTGTCCACAGACATTCAGGTCAGGACCTGACACTAAAAACTGCCAACAGGTACAAACATGAGCCTGAAAGATTGTCTGTCAATCTGTATAAGCCCTGTGAGGGACTGCTGACCTGTCCATGCTTTTATTTTTTCCTCCAGCCAAAAAAGGTAGAGGCGATGAGTAAACACACAGAGGCGCTGCTCCTGTGTTCTGGGTGTTCTCCACTGGGTGGCACAAAAGACTCAGCTGCCCTGAACACTTTGTAGAAATCCAAGCAATCCATCATATAGTGTTTTACAGTCTCCGAGGAGAGCAAAGTGCAAAGATGTCCAGTCATGCGATCTAGAAGTGTACAGTCAAGGCTAAGCCCGTTTTCTCAACCTGGCAGCGAGATAGCAGCACCTCTGACAGTCTTAACAATGGACACATTGAGGGAAACTGTCGGGAGGAAATTTCCTCATATAGATAGCCACAGAAAGAGACACAAATCAACCATAGAAATATTTCTCGGACTAAACGCCAGCCAAGATTAGATTCTGTCATTTCAGGGTCTTTTGTGCAGCCATTTATCACGTGCACACACTGCATGGAAGCACAGGTGTGGGAGTCGTCCAACATTTTTGCTGAATTAAGGTCTAAAATGTATCTGACCCACTGGAAATGTTGCTCATTGAAGGGGAACTGTATGCTTTAACATGCAAGCTGTGCAGTTTCGTACCAGTGCTTCTTTCACACCAGAATCAATTACTCACACATGACAGCTACATCGATTTTTTCTGATGCGTCTATGATTTCTACATCTTTCCCACTCACTGACACACAACGTGAACATAAAAGTCTGCAGTTAATACTCAACTCAGGCTGGTGTAAAACCAGTTTGTAAATATCTTAATATCGTAACTACTACATCAACAAAAATAAAAACTTTAGTTGAATTAATCTCAGTTCAATTCAGTTTTATTTATAATGCTGCCAAATCACAACACCTGCCTCAAGGTGCAGTCAAAAACCCCAACAATCTTAGAGACCCCCTCAAGACCCCTTATGAGCAACTCCTTTGGCGATAGCTGGAAGGAAAAACTCCCCTTAAACAGGAAGAAACTGCCAGCAGAACTAGTTACAGGTAGTAGCAATAGGAGTAGGAGATTAATAATAACTACTGATTAAATGCAGAGTGGTATGTAAATATAAACAGTAGGTGGAATAAAGGTGAAAGAAGAAGAAACGCTCAGTGAATCATGGGATGAGGCCACCAACACATTTTAAATAGACTTCTGTGTCAGGCTGAATAGCACTGAATCGTACTGTACGTGTGTATTCTGTATGGATAAGATGGCACTCACAAAGGGTTTTCAGTAGATCCAACAGAGGGAGGACAACAGACTCTGCAATATGAGAAGCACATAAATAAATCAGGTGTCTAACTTCCTGTATGACAGACGAAAATAAATTAAAAACCAAAACAACACAAACATGTTTCAGCCTTTGAATGAGCTGTGCCGCCCATCAAGCGTGTTTACTGGTGAACCTTGGTGCATGCTAAGATGAATATAAATATATAAACTCCAGATTATAAGTGATATCACAGAGCTTAATATCATGTAATAAATCCATTATATTCCATTAAAAATGCAACACATTGACCCACCTGCATGAATATTTCACCTGGTAATGCATTTATTGTGAGAACAGCTTGGGTCTGTGACCACATTACATTACTCCTGTAGAAGTGGCTGGGTAGACTTTGTGCAACACTCACCTGTGACACGCGATTCTGCTCTGAATTAGACCTTGTAATGCATGAAATAATACATGATGAATGAGTGGGAATTACATTTAAATGGATCTGTGTAAAAGTTCCTGTGAGGACATTATTATTTTTTCAGTGTTACAAGACCAGGCGTGCCACCAGAACTTGTTAGGATTTACTTGCAACTGCTGTAATCAACATGTTTATATCAAATCAGTCTATGGCTAACGGGAAAAATGTTGCTCGTAGTGAACTCACTCTTCTTCTCTGATGTAGCTTTACTGTTTAGGTTCACGCTCACTGCTGTATTAATCTGTTTTTATTGAAAGAGTTTTAAACCCCCACTATGCACCTGCAGGCACAGTGAACGGCTGTCAGATTAATATAGAGTAACTCCAAGTCAATTCACATCTGCTACATGTCTAAATAGGAAATAAATTTGTAGCAACCTAACCAGAGATAACGCTGATTTACGCAGGCATTTTGTTGTAATTTCATGAATTACCCCTTCATACCATTGTGAAACATTGTAGTTGTTGGACTTCTGACCTCGCTGCAGAAATTTACCAGCATGTGTCAGTGTGTGTGAGGCCACGCTTCTGCAGTTTCGAGTGTGGCAAAGCACACGTCTGACCACACCTGTCAAATACAGACTTTCACTCAGACGGGGGGCCATGAAGGCCATGCGGCTTGTGCAGTTTGTTTCCTAATGTTTCTGCTTTTGCGACAGCGTGTCGGTTTTCTGCATTTTTATCCTGTGCAGGGCAGAGAAAGTTTTCGGTCCATTTACGGGGGAAACTGGATGAAACAAATGCAGACAATCCCTCTTTCATTAAAGTTTGACATTTCTCGTTGCTTTTGCAAACCCGCTTTTAAATCTTTTAACAGACTGTTAAGGAAGAAAACATTATAGTGTATATGACCTTATTTTTTTAGGCTGGTTTGATTCTTTTCAGTCCAACATATTCCTTGAGTGTCATTGTGGCTTTTGGTGATATGAAAGAATAATACGCTGTATAGTTCATAAAATATGACTTGAGGCTTGATGTGGTGGTTTTCAGCTGTCACTGCACTCAAGATAAGATCCCTCAGTGGTGAGAGTGTGATCAGTTTCGTCAGTCATCGTCACACCAAGAATTTCTGAGGCTAGTAGTTAATTTAGTCTGGCTTGATATTCAGTGGGGTGAATTGTATGTTTGCACAGACACCAATCGGACGTTTTTGATAGGTACACGTGTTCAGTGGCTCATTAATCCAAATATCTAATCAGCTAAATACATGGCAGCAACTCAGTGGAGTTAGGCATGTTCAGGAGGACCTGAAGTTCAAAGCGAGCATCAGAATGGGAGGTAAATATGTGATTTAAGCAACTTTGAACATGACATAACCGGTGAGAATATCTTGTTTGGCATCAGAGAATGACCAGACTGCTTCAAATTGATAGGAAGGCAACAGTTATTCAAATAACTACTTGTTACAGCCAAGGTATGGACAAAAGCATGCCAGAATGCACAACATGCCAAACCTTGAAGCAGATGGGCTACAGCAACCCATCTTAGAACAGGAAGCCTGTTCACTTGGGCTCAGCAAAATTAAACAACAAGACTGGAAAAATGTTTCCTTATATGATGAGTCTCAGTTCTAGCTATAATATTCAGAGGACAGGCTCAGCATCATTTAAACACCTGAGTATTGCCGCTGACCATTTATGACTACAGTGTACCCATCCTCTGATAGATACTTTCAGGAACACACCATTGTCATTTAGCCCGGATCATCTCAAACTGTTTTCTTGAACATGAAAATGAGTTCACTGTACTCAAATGGCCTCCACACTCACCAGATCTCAGTCTAACAGAGCACCGCTGGGAAGTGGTGGAACAGGAAACTCACATCCTAGATGTGGAGCTGAAAAATCTGCAGCATCTATGTCAAAATGGACTAAAATCTCTGTCTCCTCGTTGAATCTGTGCTGTGAAGAATTAAGGCAGTTCTGGGTCCAACCTGGTATCAGTGAGGTGCTGAAAGAAGGCCTGTGCTTACCCATAAGCCACAGAATAATACAACACCATAAAAATAAAGAGGTAAATACACACAACATTTTTGGCAAGTGGAGAATTTCTGAGAATTACTTCCAGTTACAACAGTTACAACAGCGGTTATTATTTAACGTATGAGAGTATGAGTGGAGTCTCTGGGCGTAGAAAACTGTAAGGTGCAGCACTGATTGGTGTGCGTCCTAAGACGAGCTGCTTAAAGTTTGGAAACAGTGCGTAACCGTTGCTGAGAGGGGGCGGCACCGAGCAGTTCCAGCAGGTGAAAAAAGCGCCTACAGTTTACTGTGGGATCAGGACAAAAAGGAGCGACACACTTCAGCACAGACGTGCGGCAGAAGTAATCCCTCCATAAAGCGGACTCAGCACAGCAGCAGAGAAACAGACGGAAGTGGAACAGTTTGAATGTTTTCTTCTCTCCTGACATCCGTGGAGCGCAGGAGCGGGGGAGACGCCGGTGCGCTCCGCGATGTCAGCCGCTGTTAATGATAGGGATGGGAAGAGGAGAGGGTGCTTCGTTTGCAGACGTCGCCTCGCATGTTTGTGTAACGGACAATTAATTGTTACCTGAAGATAACTGGGCAGCACTTGTGGAAAGGGAAGTGCGAGGAGTGTTTTGGTGCCAGCTTTAGAAAAGCTGCTGGGAGCAGCCGGTGGATGTGGCACCATGGGGATAAAGACAAGACTCCAAGCCATGCTGATGTTATTGTGGATCATTCAAGGTAGGGTAATTAATCCACTCACGCTCCCTAAACCTCACAGCATGTCAGTGGCGACAAAACTATGTTTTTCTTCACTTTTATAAACATCTGAGAGCAAATAACCAACTTATCACTGATGGAAGAATTTGCTTTAATATTGAATTGTCAATGAATTAAGCAAAGAGTCAAACTCCATTGAATAAAATACTTTTTTAACTGAACATGCACGACCTCTATACACTTCTGCCTCGAAGCCGAGTGGGATTTAAAGGCGTTTATTCATTGCTCAGATTCAGACTTATTGGCAGTAACAAACAGCGAATAACCTGCTTCAGTCCTAATTACGCGTCTTGGAAAGCTGAAACCTCTTTCCCCCTCCTACCTTAAATTTTGAATTTAGAAGCAGGGACTTTTCATTAAATATGTAATTTATATCGCTGTGGCTGCAACTGCTTATGTGTGTGTGCGTGTGTGTGTGCGTGTGTGTGTGTGTGTGAGTGAGTGTGTGTGTTTTTATACCAGAGGTTCCCTTTTAAGCACACAGCAGAGTACTCCTCATTTTAAGAGGGCATAATGTTGTTGCATGGTTGAATGCTCAGAAATGAATTTCAAGGAACTCAAACGTTGCTGCCTTTTTTCTCCCCCCCCCCCCCCCCCCCCATCGTTATTGTCCCCTGTGAGGTTAAAAATAACATAAAAGCTTGAGTCTACCTGAAGGAGCCGGATGTCATTTTTGAAAATTCTAGTCAGAGAAATCCCAGCTGTCAAATTAAGAAGGCTTACCTAAGAATACTGGTCATACAGGTTTAATGTCCTGCACAGTTTGGCCCCTGTTACTGCTTTGTGTGCATGCAGTTAATGCGCAAACGTTTAAATAAATCATAGATAGTGACTGACAGACTGAAGCATTGCAAATAAAAATGTTAATGCTTTTTGAACAGCAATTTGATGCAGACAAGTTTAAATCATATTTAGCTTTTATCAGTTTGGACTGCAGTCATTTCATTTAGCTCTAAACCCTAGAGCCAAAACAAGCACAAACAAGCACAAACACACACACACACACACACACACACACTCACACACACACACTGATGTGCTAAAATATTATTAATTTCCTTCTGTGAATACACACTCCAATACACCATCCAGGCTCTACTCCAAAACACCCTTTAGGTTTTTCTGACTTGGCCGATCTTATTCCTGTCAACCGTGCCGCTGCATCATTTCCTACCAGATGTTGGCTTTCTCCCAGTGTGGAAATCAGAGATTGTTACAGCTTGTCTCCTTTATGTCAGGATTTGTTTGGTTCAAACTGGGGGTTTTGACTTAAAAGCAGCATCAGGAAAGACAATACTGGAACTTTATATCAATCTTAACTTACATTCAATGCTGTAATCGCTTAATAAAAACATCAGTGTTGTTCTCAAGCAGTTAGAGGACACCTGAGTTCAAATCTGTGTGGGCTTCTGCATTGGAGCTACTGTAGCGTGACATTACGTCTGCCGCGCTTTGATTTGTGCAACTGCTTTTAATGGGATGAAATGAATGAATTCAGTTTGTGCCTCGCTGATGAGAGACTTCAACCGCTTCTTGTTCTGATGATCAAATAGCTTTTTGGATTTGATCGATGGATTCCTTTTTACGTCTTGGACAGCAGCTAAGCAGCCTGTCAAACCAGTCCTGCCTGTCAGGAAAACGTCTGCCCGTCCTGACTTTAGAAGAGCAGAGAAGACTCTGTTTGTACTGATGAAATGCAGCAGCTTTATTGGCCTTGCATGAGAAGACCCGTAGCTAATTGGTCACTAAACGCTTAAATAAATCTGTTAACCCTTTACAGCCGATCGGAGCGGGCACGCTCTGTTTTGCGTAACTATTTTTAAATCCCGGTAGCTCTGCAACCACTTAAGCTAGCACAATAATTTTTTTTGCATATGAAACTGGAGGAGTTGTACTTACATCTTATGCCATCATCTTGTCCTCGGTCACAGTTTCCTTCCACATATAGCTTTGCAAAAACTGCATAAAAATCACTTGCAGCAACAAAAACATGATATTCCAGAAACAGGCTTCGCCGATCCATCAGCTGTTTGTAACACTTCCTACGTCCATCAGCATGAACTATCACATGTCCGCATGACCTGCCCGAAACCGGAAGTGACGTCGTTTTGCGGAAATGTAGTTTTTTACGATCGGGGCCTTATGAGCTTGTGTTTTACTTGTTATGTGTTTTAAAAAGTTATGTTTGAGTTTATGACTTTCTGTGTCGTTTCTGGGACTCATATTGCACTGCTGGAAATAGTTTATTTTGATGCATATGCTGTTATTTTGCAAATTTGCACTATAATATTTATTTTCGTTTTTCCTGCAGTATATAAAAATTGGTGTATTTCAAAAATAAAACTATGAAGACACTCAAAATAAATTTCCTGTGGTGGGAAACTAGTTTGTGTAACTTTTTTGTATTTACAGTTTTGAGGGATAAGCCTCTTAAATTTCTCTAACTAGAAATATATGTTAAAAAAACAAAAACGATTTTCAATTTTTTTGTAGTTTATTGCACTTTTTTGCAATTTATGTAACTACTATGCACCTAATGCAGACATATTATTAAAGTTTGGGCTATAATGGTTGTATTGATGTATAGCAACTTGAAATGCCCCCAAAAATGGCTCCACAGCATGTAAAAATATAATATAAGCTCTGGCGAACTTGGTTCTATGGTAGGTCTTAAAGGGTTAATATGCTTCCTTTGGGCACCCATTTTATTTTTGATGATTTGAGGCAGATTCTGAACAATCGTTTGTACCCATTAGCAGCAGTAAATCACATCTTGGTTGTACCATTCGGTGTATTCATGCAGAAATGCACTACTCTTGCCCATTAGATATTTCAGATTGGCCTGAGGACCGTGACAAGGTGACTTGACGTGGCACCATCGCTCCCTTCTAATTTGAATGTCTTTCTCTTTGGTTTTGCTATTAAAAGAAAGTCATGTCCTCAGCCGATTGTCTTCACTGACGTCTGGTTTATGTCGTTGGTGTAAGCTGATGATTGCGAGCCAGTTATATCCCTTTTCAGAGACTAACTCCCAGAGCTTAGCGTGATTCTGATTATGTATTGCATGATTAACTAAACAAGAAATTAGTCAGTTGTGGTCCAGCTTGGAACAAACAGCATTCCTGGCAAGGCTGCTGCATGAGTATTAACTGTCAGTGCAAAGATTTGGAAGCCCTCAGAGACCACCGCAGAATGGCAAAGAAGTGTCTCAGTCTTCTTGATGTCAAAGTCAAAGCATTTGTAGATATCAGGGTGTTTGTGTCACTCCCAGCAGGAAACTCATATGAAAGTGAAGACTTCAAGAACTGTTGAACTTATTCATTTAACATGTCAATTATCTTATGAACAAAACGCAGTCATGTTTGGTTCTTTTTAAGCAGTTCAGAAAGCCAAAGCATCACATACACATAAAATTGTTGTTGTCGGTTCATCATTGCAGGAAAAACGTAAGCCCAATATCCCCTCATAGTTTACCACACTGTAGAAGCAGGAAATAAACAATATGCAAGAATGGGACTGCATCAGGCATTAGTAGTCAGTACCACAATACCAGTCGAGTTACACAATTGTTGATGCCTAATTTGATACACAGATTGCCGAATGCGTGCAAATGATCTCAGACTAAGTTATAAACACAGACAGACTGCCAACTCTTTGGAGTCTGTGCCGATAGCACAATTCGCCTGCAGCGCTACTCTTTATAGTAAGACACTCAACTCAGCTGGTTGCATTTGGTTTTCCTAAATAAAGGCACGGTTGCTGAGTGTCTATGTCCTTTAGCAACATCACTATTGTGAAGGTTCCATTTAGATTCAGAATGGTAAGTAGTTACTGTGAATTTCTGTGTAAACAGCAGCAAATATGTGATTCCCCCCCCGATTTTTTACAGTTAGTTGCTGTATTATTATAAACAGATTGCCTGAAATTGCCAGCTTGACCCCATTCAGTCAGACTGTTGGTAGACATGATATGATAGCAGTCACTCTAAACACAACAACTGTGAGTTGCAGTCATCAAAGAAACCGTTTCAAAAGATTAAAAGTTCATACCACATGGTCACAATGATTTTGGTCGTGCTGCAGATCAAAATCATATTATTCAAGTAGAATCATTTTTATTGCCAGTACTGCTGAAATGTTTGTAAGGAAGGTTTGTCGTTCACAGCCCATGGCCACCATGTTGAAGGCCCACACTATCAAACAGGAAACGGGGGATTCCAAATTGTTTTATAAGGGGGGGGGGGGGGATTTTGGAGTGTGCCAAAAACAGAGGGGAGATTAGCACTGTTTGCAGTAGTTTTCAAATCTCTTTTAAACATCGTGAGTAAATTTGATTTTGTCTTTCTGCTTAGAAACCCTATCAATGGAAAGCAATGGATACAACGTATTTCAAAAGGCTTTTACTTTGAAGATGAACAGTCTTCAGTTTGTGTTGCACTTTCCACAGTTTCGCTACAGCTGTGAGAGTGGCTGGACTGGACAGTGTTTGTAGACATGCAGTCAAACTATGTCAGCAGCAATATGCTAGCAACGAAAGAAATCACAAGGTTTTTGCCATCTGGTTGGGAAAGATGTTTTTCCCTAGGGACGGGTGGTTGCCAGCAGGTCACTGACCAGCCTGTAGGCCTGTGTGATTGGATTTTTAGCAATTATTTTTCCTTGCAACTGCCATCGAACTCCAGCAACCACTTGCAATCAGTCTGGCAGTACTAATTTTACCCTTAGAGCTGGTAGTTTTCACACGGTCAGATGGTCATAGATCAGGCGCCTTATTCACTTTACTCTACATTGTCTTTACGATTGTTACACATTCAAAATGGCAGACAAGTTAATGCCATGTGGATAGTAGTCATGTGTCTGCAAAATCTCACTGCACCACAAAAGATCATTCCTGCCTCCGAGTGTGCTTCTTCCATCACAGACTCTTAGAAATACACTGTGTTCCAAAGAGATATGCTGAGC